TAGCTCATGAAAACTGCCCAGCCACGTGAGGTTGCAAAGAGTATGCATCTTTCCGATAACCTTTTGGGAATTTCTTTCCAGTAATATTGATATTTTCACTCCTTGAATTGAATACCCAATAATCTGTAATTTTTTTTTCTTCATCGGTTGAAGATTTGTCTTCTCCAAAACTAAAGTTGACCAGCATGTAGGGGGTTTTTGGTGGACATGTGTAAAAACGGGCCTTGTCCCCTTCTTGAACCTATGAATGATTGTGACAAAGAAAACATAGACATTACAACTAGGCTGATAGCCAGACGTACAAATTAGACTGGTTAAAAACCACTTGAACTTACAAAGAGTTTTGATAACAAAACTTACTCGGCATTGTTACAGGAGGACTGGTCGGACCGGTCCTACCGGTTCAACTGGGTTTTAGTTTTTTCATTTAATACATATTTTAGATATATGTATATATGTAATATTGTGACAAAAGTGAAAATACACTGAGAAATCTTTAAAGTAATTGTGACCACTATTGTTTATATTTTTAGTTAAAGTTCAAAAAATTATAAACAATGCATACTAATACTAAATACACGTGTACGAGTACTAAATATATAGCACGAAATGAAATAATATGAATGACCATCAATGTATGATGAAATATAGTATGTATGTGTAATGAAAAGAAAACACATGTGAAAAGAAAAATTAAAAAGGAGAAAGAAATGATTTTGGTTTACAAACGTAAGACTAAATATCAGAAATCAAATAAAAAGTTACCATTTTTACCTCTATATTAATTAAAATCATGTTCAGTGTTTGGTTGAACCGGCTTTTTCTATTGACCGGAGTTATTGGTTTTGCCGGTTTTTGACCGGTTTTGGCGGTTTAATTGAAATCCGAGTTTTGATTAAGCCCAGACTCGTTTTACTAACCGATTCACGGTTGGACCGGTTCGACCGGCCGGTCCGGTCCGGTTCTGAAAAGCAGAGACATGTATTACTCTAACGCTTTGCTTACGAGCCCCACTGTATATCTTATATATATATATATTGTTAAATTGATATACTTTCTTGTAACATAACTTTGAAAAACTTACTAAATACTATGTGCTTGTTTAATTGTATTGTGACATATATACAAAAAAATTTACAAAAAAAAAGGAAATAAAAAATAGATTACATAAGGAATTTAAATATACAGTAGATATACATCCAAAGAGAAAACAAAATGAGAAACAAATATGTAGTTATATATATCCAAAACTTAAAAAAACTAGATTTGATAACAAAACTTACAAAGAGGTTTGCAACTAGGTTGAAAAGCAGAGACATTTTTTACTCTTAGGGTTTTTTTACATGCCTCATCGTAACCCTAATATATTAATTTTGAAGCATTCCATTATGTTTTCGTAGCCACGTATCATCACTAGGATGATTCTTAGAATCCTTAAAAAAATAAATTGGTCCATATATATTATCTTTTTTATTAAACTAATTATCAAATTGATTAGTAGTGTACAAAAGATCATTTTCAATTATTTCCTTAAATAAAAGATATGAAATTAACTAATAGGATTAACATATATGAAAATTAATTATTATGAATAATATATATTTGATAACAATTTTTGTATCCTCTCTCTATTGTTTAATTTTATATTATTAAAAGAAATCAAACAATCACATTAAGCATATAATAAAAATTTAGATTTTTTTCTTATGTGTCATATTTTGTGTTTTTTAAAAGACTATAAATTACTAAAATGGTGAAATTCAACATTGAAAATTTTGTGATCAAAGGGTTATTTTTTTTGTTGACTCCGCCTGATGTATAAATAGTTGTATTCATATGAAGACATATAAAAAAATAGTATAAATTGTTTGGTTTTATATTAATACTTTATTTTTTCAATTGATACAGAGAGGAAGGATCCATTTGTGTTCAAGAAGCATGTGGAAAGCAAACAATGAAACAATTTGTAACTGATGATAATTTTTTTCTCACATATGTATGTGTATTCACAACTGTTTTTATATGTCGGTATTCAAGACAGCCATTTCTAGTATGGAAAGATGAGTTTGTAAGACTATGAACAATGGTTATAAGTTTTCAACATCCTAATTTATACTTTTTGATATTCCACATCATCTTCTCTTTTTTCCACTTATTAATTCAATACCCACATAAATTTTATCTCTACAATAATTTTGTTTAATAATATTCAACACCCTAATCTACTATTCTTATTTTCTTTTATATTTGTATATTTACATACTAACACAAATAAAAAATTGTAACCAAATCAAAATAACTAATGCTTAAACAAATTTATTCTAAGACAAATTATCCTTTTTAATATTTTTTGCTAATAAACAAATATTGAAATAGCTATTATTGAAATATATTTTACAAGTGTAGTTTTTATTGTCCAAATAAAATGAACCAAATTTCTATTAAAAGAGTTTTCAAAATAAAAATTTTTGGTATAAGAAATAATATATAATTTTTTTTTTACTGTCACATAACTGAACTTAAATAGTTAGGGTGAAAAGAAAAATACCAAAATATATATGCAGCCAATAGAAAAATATTTAAATTAAAGTACATTGTTTCATATAAGGACATGTGTCACTTGAGGTCCTACAATTTTATTGTACATCTGCTGAATGTGGCTTCGATTGGTACAATAGATGATAAAGCATTAGCAGTATGCTGTAGAAGGTGTATGCTTTCATTAAAGTTTTTTAATAAAATGACTGGTAGAGCATTAGCAGTATACAATTTTAAAATTGTCATAATAATTAGTGTAATAATACATTTTAAAAAAATAATATATATATAATATTTATAATATATTTATTAAAAATAATGAATCTTATTCATTATATAAATTATATTTAAAAAAGTAAAAAATATTTTTTAAAATATTAAATTATTTTTGGATATAAACATGTTTTAATATTATTAAATTAATTAATTAGAATTTATATATAAATTATTATTATTTATCTATTTGGAGAGCAGTAAATATTTTATATATAAAATTATCATAAAAATTTAATATATGTTATACAATTTATTTATTAGTGTCTAAATAATATTTTTATATCGATAATATATAAATATATATTATGTTATGTTTGTTAATTAAAATAATGAAGGATATATGTAATTATAATTTTTGGATATTATTAAACTAATTAATTAAATTATTTTTGGATATAAACATGATTTAATCTATAAAAATATTTTTACTGGTAGTAGTTGAAGAGATTGTATATCCGAAATGGATAAAATAATATTTGAAGTTAATCACGACGTATCCAAAATTAGTGTACCTTTTGTTAATATATTTTTGTTTTTGGTTATTTTATCTGTAATAGATTTTTAGATATTTGCATTAGTCTGAGTACATAATTAGTCTGAATGCAATTATGTTTTTTGATGTAAACATGAGTGTGGATGAAAAATAAAACTCAAAATGTGCATATTATCATTTTTTAATAATCAGTTCATAGTTCTTATATATGTGAAAATACTTGAACTCAAGCTTACCAATCCAACCCAAATATGAAACATACATGAACAAGCAGCAGTTAACACCCTAAACTGAAATATCCGGAAATCTAGAATACTTAATCCGAACCCAGCTGGAACCAAGACGTCCATGCCTACTCAATGCATTGATCACCATAGTTAGGATTAGGACTGGGCGAAAAAACCGCACCCGATAAAAAGGAATCCGAACCGGTCTGAACCTAACATAAATATCAAATGGATCTTGTTTTACGATAGTTTGGGTTATAGATTTTTGCCCGAACTGAATCTGAACTTAAATAGATATCCGAAAGAACCCAAAATTTTAAAATTTCAAAAACTTGTACCATATTCAATCTTAATTTCTAATGTTTCCAAAACACATTAAGATGTTATTGAGTACCTACAACAATTAGTTATTACATGAGTAATTAACTCAAATACTTAGACTAATATATAGTTTAATTTGGTTAACACTAATGTTCATGTTTTACATTACATTTAAATTTTAGTTACGAATAAATTTGTTTTAAAGTTTAAACAATGTTGTGGTTTTTTAATTTCAAATATTATTTCTTATGTTTATAGAATTATTAGTTGTTAACTTTAATTTTTTCTGTTTAATTATATATGATTTTTGTTCATATAAGACTTTGGTTTGTCATTAATCATGATATGTTTGATGTTGTCACGTATAGTTCAAAGAGAAATCTCATATGGTTGATAAAATTTCACAATATTATTTTGAAGGACAATAATATGGTTTGAAAAAACTAAATAAACAATTTTATAAAAATGATTATAATATATTGAATTTAGTATAGTATAAATTAGTATTTTTAGAATCGATAACTCAATTAGTATATGAAACCAAAACTATTTCAGGTTCAACCGGATCTTGGACATGTAACTAAATCCGAACAGAATCCGAGATAATCCGAACCGAATCCAATCCGAATTTTTATAATATCCAAATGAGGTTGAAATTCATAAACCCGAAAACCCAAATGAACCCAAAGCAAAACTCCATTGAGACCGGATTGTCGAGTCCTAGTCAGGATCATCATCGGCTGGATAAAAGCAACAAAACAGATTCTTAACAGTCCACACAAATGTCACAAAAGCCTAGCCCTACTAAGAGCCCATTAAAACTCAGCCCATCTTAGAGAGGGATGCAGTACTCCGCTTTGACCTATTTACAACTGTCGCCACTTGAAAAAAAAAAATCTATTTCCATAAACACGAAATGAGACTCTACCAAGTGAACGGCACTGATCAAATAACACGCGCCAGGAGACAGCCGTTAGATACGAAAACGAAATGACCAGCTCACCCCCAAACCAAAACTAAAAGTATTATAAATACATGTCCTAAAACCCTAAATTGAAAAATATCTCGCGCAGCTTCTCTAGGGTTTTTCGCCTCTCTCTTCTCTCTTTAACCTAGCAGTCGCTTCTTCTCTTCTCAGATTCGCCATGGGTAAAAAATCCGCCACCAAAGTAAGCTTTTCTAAGCTGTTCCTCTTCGTACTCTTTCTCGAACTTCTGTTACTGTCTGTTTTTCAAGCTTAACTAAACTCTGTGTCTGTTTTTGTCTGTGTCTGTTTTTGTCTTCAGGTTGAATCAGCACCTGTTGCTGTTAAGGCCACCAAACCCTTGAAGAAAGGTAATAACTTTATGCTTCGAGTTTGTGTGTTTTTTTCCTAAACGAAGCCTCTTTATTTGTAGTTTTGGTTTGATTTTAACTTGTGTATTCTCTCTTACTTCAGGTAAGAGAGAGGCTGAGGATGACGTGGATACCAAAGTGAACCTAAAGAAGCAGAAGAAGGATGTGATTGCTGCCGTCAAGAAGGAGAAAGCAGTGAAGAAGGTACCTAAGAAGGTTGAGAGCTCCTCAGACTCATCAGATTCTTCTGACTCCGAGGAAGAGGTTAAGGTATAGTACTTGGTGTCTTACTAGTACCACTGTTGAATCTTTAGATTGAAAAAAAGTTAGCTAACTGTAGGTTAGCTATGTTTGCTTTTAACTCATAGGATTATGATGTTATTGTTTACTGAAGGCTTATTAAAATATCTTTCATATTGAAAATTATCTTAGGCTAAGAAAGTTCCTGCTAAGAAGGTTGAGAGCTCCTCAGACTCATCAGATTCTTCTGACTCCGAGGAAGAGGTGAAGGTATAATAGATTAATCTTGTTGCTGTTTGTCTCATTGTATTGTATTGTTTGTGATTTTATTTAAGTATCCTGCTTCAAATCATGGTAGGCTAAGAAGGTACCTGCTAAGAAGCCTGCAGCTAAGGCTGATTCAAGCAGTGAAGACTCATCTGACGAGTCTTCAGATGATGTAAGAGTTTTATGGCTGTTTATTACTTTGTGTGTCAGTTTTGTACCTTGTGTTGCGTCTTTCTAAAACCTTCAATGCTTTATCTTTGAAGGAACCTGCAACCAAGAAGGCTGTTGCAACTAACGGAAAAGCTGCGAAGAAAACCAAAGATGACTCATCTTCTGAGGAGGAATCTTCCGATGAGGTTAATTTTTTATTACTTTTAGTGTTTAGCCTGCTCTCTGTGATATCTTTATGACACTTGGCTATTATAATATATTTCAGGAAGAAGTTGTTCCTGCCAAGAAACCTGCTGCAGCTGCTAAAAATGGCTCTGTGAAGGCCAAGGCAGAGAGCTCCTCTGAAGAGGAAGACTCTTCCGATGAGGAGTCTTCAGATGAAGTAAGCACCGCCTCATAAACATCTTTTACTGTTTTACTCTGTGTTTCTGAACAATGTGACTTACTTGTGTTGGTGATTTGGCAAATAGGAACCTGCAAAGAAACCTGCTGCAGCTAAGCCAGCTGCTAAAGATTCTTCATCTTCTGACGATGATGATGATTCGGAAGATGAATCTGAGGATGAGAAGGTGAAATAATTTTTATACCTATAATAATATCTTCAGTTTTCTATATGCATGTGTTAGTTTGTGGCCGTGTATTTGTTTATAATCTAGTGTTCTTTAAAAATGGATTACTAAATATTTTGTTTACGAATGCAGAAACCTGCTGCCAAAAAGGCAGCTCCTGCTACCAAAGCTGCAAGCAGTTCAGATGAATCTGATGAAGATTCTGATGAGGTTAGCTTCTGTACTTCACGTTATCATTTTGCAGCTTCTGATGTCTCTGTGTTTTGAATCATTGTTGATTGGATTTGTTTTGTAGGAAAGTGAAGATAAAAAGCCTGCACCAAAAAAGGCTACCAAGGCAGCTAAAAAGGATAGCAGTAGTGAGGAATCTGACTCTGATGAATCAGAAAGTGAAGATGAGAAAGAAACCCCGAAGAAAAAGAACACCGATGTAGAAATGGTGGATGCTGAGCAGAAACAGGTAAGTATCCATTAACATAGTAATTCCTCTAACCTTATTTATGGACCATGCGTTGAAGTAAATTTGTGTCTCATGCTTTTTCTTTCAGCCTAAAACACCAGCAACTCCTGCTACAGGAGGACCCAAGACGCTCTTTGTTGGTAATCTCTCATTCCAAGTTGAACAATCAGACGTGTAAGTAGCTCTCTAGTCTCTATCTTTCTCTCTTTCGACAAATTCAGTTGTATGATAAGTATATCCTTCTATATACAGTGAGAATTTCTTTAAAGAAGCTGGAGAGGTTGTTGATGTAAGATTTGCTTCGAGTAAGGATGATGGCAGTTTCAGAGGCTTTGGCCATGTTGAGTTTGCTACTTCTGAAGAAGCACAGAAGGTGGGTCTAGCTTCTGCTTATGTAGTAGTTATTTTGAAATTTACTTGCTGACAAAATCATATGTACTCAGGCATTGGCTCTCAACGGGAGAGCCTTACTTGGTCGTGATGTTCGTCTTGATTTGGCTGCTGAGAGGGGAGAAAGACCTGCTTACACTCCACAAAGCGGTGGTGGTAACTTCAGAAGCGGTGGTGGTGGAGGCCAGTCAATTTTCGTAAAGAACTTCGACTCTTCTCTTCCTGAGGACGAGATCAAGCAGGCATTGACTCAGCACTTTGCTTCTTGTGGAGAGATTACAAGGCTCTCTGTTCCCATTGACCGTGAAACTGGTGCTTCCAGAGGGTATGTTACATGACTTCTTCTTTCTCCACTATGTTCTCTGTTCCCATTGACCGTGAAACTAAAACAATTGTTTATTTTGTTTACAGAATTGCTTACATTGACTTCAAAGAAGGCGCAGAGAAGGCATATGACCTTAATGGTTCTGAATTGGGAGGATGGAATATTGTTGTTGATGAGGCTAAACCGAGGGACAACAGTGGTGGAGGATTCAGTGGTGGTGGTGGTCGTTTTGGTAGTGGTGGTGGTGGTCGTTTTGGTAGTGGTGGTGGTGGTCGTTTTGGTGGTGGTGGTGGTGGTCGTTTTGGTGGTGATGGTGGTGGAAGGAGCGGCCGTTTTGGTGGTGGTAGAAGGGGCGGCAGAGGAAGAGACAGTGGTGGCCGTGGATCCAACAGACCTAGTTTAACTGCTGCCGCATCAGGTACGTGAATTTGTTATTGATGTGTCTTAAATCTTGATTGTAAGAGTAACCACCTTCTCACTAATTCTTGGTTCTTCATGGCAGGCACGAAGACCACCTTTGACGATTAGTTATGAAGAAGAGGATGTTCTTCTTGTGTTCTGTTGTCATTTTAGTCTTGTGATACTACTACTACTCATCTTCTTATTATCTCAGTTTTTTTCTTTAATTATGTTGTGTCTGGATCCTTATATTTTTGTCTGAATTTAAATTAAAGCTCAGTTTTGAGTGCTTTTTTGTGTTGAATCATTTGTCTTACATGAGCTTAAAATCTTATCACTCAAATGATAAACAACATTACAACCGGATGTTAACAAAGAGGAATTAGTAGCTTGATGTCAATTTTGGGTATATAGTTTTTCTGCTCTTACTTTGACCTGTTAGCTGTAGATCCAATATAGGTCAGACATATTCAGTTTAAAGCTTGAGATTCGAAAGTGGGCTGAACGAATTGTTCTTGATGGCCACTTTGTGTCTATAATAGTACCTCCCTGGGCATCCCTTTAGCAATCCTTAAGTGAAGAAGTGAATGGTGCCACCTAATTGCTTGGAGTGTATGGGTGTTGGTGTTGCTTTAGACCGAAGCTGTAAAGAGTTCCAGAGAAAATGAGAATCAGACACTGCCGAAGAGGCAAGAAGTTGTAGAGCAAGTAAGAAGATCATCAACCTGGTGGTTTTTTATTGTTTGGTAAGGTTTAAAAGATCGTCTTCCATAGAAAGTTCCATTACATTAAATTGATGATTCATGGAACAAGAGTGACCTGAGCACACAGTTTATTGTCTAGTTACCTTATTTTCCTGAGAGTTTAGCCAATAGACCAAGAAGTGCTGTTCCAAACAATTTTTTTTATTGTCTTGGTTGTGATTCTTCGTAGTTTGTCCTTCATCTGAATAGTAATCATTTTGATATGGTTCACAAAAAAGAGCACCATGAATAACATTAGAATCAGCATGAGACATTCTATATCAACAATAAAATCCTTGAACACAGTTCATAGAAGAACATTGAACAAAGATCGAAAAGAATGACCGCCTATACCCAATTTGGCAACTCATGACAATTATTTCAAAGAATGTAATGAGCGTGTAAGATGAAAAGACCTTGTTAATGCATTTAAAGCAGCAAGAAAAATGGTTTTGTGTTCCTCAAAGATTTGATTACCTGAGATCTAGCAAAATCAAAACGTAGTTGAGGTTGAACCGAACCATAAGGACAATTGAGTTTCACTTGTTTCAAGAAGTATATCCACCTCATTTAACTTATAACAATATCTAAGTACAAACTCGCACAGATCATACAAGGACAAAATTAGTGTTCTTGGAACTGCAGAAAGAACATTATTGATCTACATTGGTGAGGAGTTGAACACCAACGTATTTATCATCCGAAGAGAGTTCTTCCATTCCCCATCCTATTTCAAGTAGTACTCATCCTAGGTGGTACGGTGTAGCCGCAACCCAATGAGGTACGTTCTTCAAAAAAAAGTTATCATATTATTTATTGTACTAAGATAGAGGTAGCCTTGGGCAAGCCAGTAAAACCCATTATTCTGGCCGTATTTTTATATAGATATTTCGGCCACAAATTTGTCAAAAACTACGTTAGTTTAGTGTATTGAAGAACTCCAGTTCGAAACTCGCCGCCTAGTGCATGTTTTTGGACAGTCTTTTTGATAAAATGACCACATTTTTATTTTTGCTTCTAGCCTTGTAAAACCTAGAACCGGTTCTATACTAAGATTTGGTGGAAGGAGGAAACATTAAAGATTTCAGAGGAAAACTGTTGAGAGATCAGAACAGAAGGAGTTATACCGAGCCATATGACATGTAGGGATCATGTCGTTTTAACAAAACTATGCAAGTTCAGTATTTTATGAATTTTGTAATTTTTTATATATCAAAGTGATGTCATATGATTTCCTCTAAAAGAACAAATGTTTGTTAAGTGAAAGTGAAAAATAAATAAATTAAATGTATATTTAGTTTGGTTTGATCAATACAAGTTTATACTATGTTTCTTTTTGGATTAAGAAGTTAGTTCATTATTTATATGACCGTTTTCTCTTAAAGTTAATATGAACTAGATAGCGGATTTATTTTTTTGGATGTACTCTATATAACTTAGTTTTATATATACAATTTCGAGTTTGTCCAATTCGATTTTATGTTTAACAATCAATATCAAAAATTTGTATTAATAGCATCAAGCAGTGTATTATGTAAGATGTAACCGTGCAGTAAAAACATTAGTTCAATACGTTTGTTCGTGCAAAATAAAATTTAAATTTAGTTGTTTGCATTAAAAAATAAGTTGAGAGTTTAATTATTTCTGATGTTAATAATTATACAAAATTTTTAAAATAATATATAAATTTCAAGAATTTTTGGCATTAACCTTTATTTTATAGGTTAGGTCAAATTCAAACTTAACTTTGGTCTTAACTTTGCAAGCACGTATATTTTATGATGAAAAAATTTATAAATAACTTAACAAATATTTTGGTAATTTGAAAAAAATATATTTAAAATATTTTTCATTTAAATCAGTATTTTTAAATTCAACCTGGACCGCGGTTAAGCTGGTTAAACCGGTGATCCGATAATTCAATTTTGATTTTTAAAAATATCCATATTTAAAAAATTACTAAAACCCTAGATTAACCCATTAACCTGATATGAAATATTTAAACTTATAAAAATAAGGTTATTTTTATTGTTTTATATATTATTTGAATTTTTTTAGTTTATCCAAATAATTTGAAAGAAAATTGAGAAAATATATTAAAAGAGTGAGATCTAATATTTTGTATTGTTTGGAAACATGGATCTATTATATAAAGTATTGTATCCCTCCTTCTAAGACCCACCACGTCGGATGCCACATCATTAAGTCCACGTGTACTTTCCGACAGATTTCTGTTTTCGTTTTGGGCCGTTTCTATATTGGTTTGTAGGCTTCAAGTCGCATCTGGCCCAATATCTCTGAAACACTAACCCTTATCCTTTCCTGCGACGGCGACTTTTGCGTTTCACTTCTTCGATGGTGGTGACTGTAGATTCTAGGGTTTCACGTATCCTCAGAGCTCTGAGTACATCGGTTATCATGGAGGTTCTGGAATGTCTTCTTGCAAATATTTGTGTAAAATCACTGTCTCGAGAGATACATGTTAGAAAAAGAAAATATATTTTCTTTTCTATGGAATATACGTTGAGCGTTTCCTTTTCTAATCTTTTTATTTGGTTCATCTCCTTGATCCTCTTTTACTTACGCTTTCCGGCTTAAGTGATGGCTAGCATAAGGGTTTTCATCACTGATCTCAAGTCAGGCAAGTGTTCTGACTCCTCCGGTTCTGGAAGGCCAGAAGTTTCAGATGTGTCTTTAAAGCGTTGTTTGGATCTTAGAGTTGGTTTGGTGTTTGTATAACTAGATGTGAGATCTCTCTCCTTGAACTCATATTCTCTTCAATCATCAATCTATTTTATTGAAAAGCTTGAGTTTTGATGATTCTGGTTTCGTTATATTGATTTAGAAAGTTTTAGTTTAGATGATTTTTTGTTCGTTTATTGATTTTATTCAAGGTTTAAGATGTAATATGATGCAAAGTAACTCGATATTTACTTTATGCTGTTAGAACTGATTAATCGATTTTATATTTGTTGTAATTTGTTTCAACTACTCCTTTCGCAGGCAACGCTTGTCCAAGGATCAATCACCGTTTACCGTTTTAACTCCTTCTGACGTATCTTGCGAGAAGGCTCGGTTTATGAGTTAAATGGTTTTGATGTTCCGAGAAGCAATCCAACCTTCAAGTTTGCTGACGCAGCCGTTTCTATTAGATTCACCGACCAGGTACAAACACGACTAAGCTGTTCCGAGAGAGAGCTTCAGCTTCCTGAATACGAGTAGCTCATGACACTTGCCAATACCAACACTCATCTCTTGATCTGTTATGGTTTAGATTGAAATGCTGGTGCTAAGTAGAGATGCAGTGTTTACTTCTCGAAGCTTAAAAAGACCCGACTTTTTAGCTGATAGGTAAAAAATGTCAATGATGGGATTTTGTAACCTTCCAAATTCTTAACCTTTTGATTGCATTACAGTTACTATAACTAAGGTTACAGAGACATGTTTTGGGCAGAGGAGGAGGGGACACGATCTCTTTTGGAAGACTCCTCTCTTATTTTTGAGGCTATAGCTCAGGAAGAAGAGCAGCTGCTCAAACTTCGGGAAGATGGGAAGAAAGCCAAATGTGCTGCGTCCAGTGAAGCTACTGATCTGAATGATGCAGGGGAAAACGGTTCGTGGTTTACTGATTTAGAAGCAAGACATGAGATTCTTGAACTTACTATTTTTTGTTATTTCGTGCAGCCAAGTTCAGTGTACATCAGGCCATGGCATCCAATGATCAGCATTAGGAGGCCTTCCTGGAACGTGCTAAGGCCCTAACAGATCTCAAGTTCACTTATGTTGTTTCTTGTCAGGTCTATGGAAGCTAGAGAAAGTCTGGTGATATCCACAACAGGAGTTGCTACACAAATATTTTGCAGCTCATGCCTGAAGTATGATAAATTTCGATACATTTCAATGAAAGTTATCATTTGTTCTATGTTCTCTAACTATGTCAATTTTTTCCTAGATATCTATCACTACGGGTTGCTTATGTAGGCGAGAGGGGAGAGACAGCAGATGCTAAATCTTCTAAGGTCTTCTACTTTGTTCTTCTCAAAGGACGTAGCAAGTTTGATGAGGTACGAGAAAATTGCATGCTGGTTATAAGTTTGTATATATGTCGCTCTTCTTGATGTTAATATTCTTTCATCGTTAGGAAATCTAACGTATCAATCTTCCTGGTACACCAGGTAAAATTGGTGAAGGAAAGCGTGAGAATCAAAACCATGCTATCATACTATAGATATGAATCAAGTATGTGTTAGTCTTCTTCATTCTGATAACTGCAGATTTAAGTATAGTATCCTCATGGTTAGTCTCTCTGTGCAGGACAACTACTTTGAAAAAGCTTTCAAGTTAAAAAATGTGTTGGAGGAGTTTAAAAAGGAGCGTGATGTTAGACGCAAGCCAACGATTTTGGGTCTCAGAGAACATATATTTACGGAATGTATAACTTCCTCGCAAGATATCAATTTCTAAGACATGTCTAATCATGAAAGTATCAACGATGTGCATGTTTGTGTCCTTATGTTTCTCCCTTTCTTGGTAAAGTTTAAAGTTTATGTTTAAATAAGTCGTCCAGAAC